AGGAGACAGGCAGGAAAAAATGGTGTAAAAGGGAAAATTAATACAGAAATACATGTTAAGTTATCAGATTTAATTAATGCCACAAGATTTAGTGTAACATAAGACCATTTAGAAAAAAATGCACATGTGTTGACCATTTTGTAAACCATTTTATAAAATTTCTGGTATGAATACATATTTCATAAAAACTGTAATAAAAATATTGTGCCAAACTCAAGATATACACGACTGCATTAGGTCCCCCGCCGGTTAGAATATAATCAAGACTAGAGACAGCAGGAAAAAATATGTTAAAGGGAAAAACTAATACGGAAATACATGTTTAGTCAATATATTTAATTAATGCCCTAAGATTTAGTATAACATAAGACCATTTAGAAAAATATGCACATGTGTTGACCATTTTGAACTTTGTGGTATGAATACATATTTCATAAAAACTGTAATAAAAATATTGTGTCAAACTCAAGATATACACGACTGTAATATAATCAGCAGGAGACAGGCAGGAAAAATGTGTAAAAGGGAAAATTAATACAGAAATACATGTTAAGTTATCAGATTTAATTAATGCCACAAGATTTAGTGTGACATAAGACCATTTAGAAAAAAATGCACATGTGTTGACCGTTTTGAACTTTGTGGTATGAATACATATTTTATAAAAACAGTAATAAAGTAAAGATATTGTGGCAAACTCAAGATATACGCGACTGCAATAGGATAGAATATAACCAAGAGACAGCAGAAAAAATATGTGAAATGGAAAAAAAACAATACAGAACTAGAAAGGCCGACATTTGCTTTGGAGCAAATACAGCAATGGCTTCACCACATTTTACGACATGGCAGGGAAAGAATGAGAAACACAAGGGAAAACAATGCTTTACATTGATATAACTATAGTATGAAGTAACATACAACTAAAGACTACAACAGTTGGATAGCTATTCCCTACATTATTGGTTAGGATTTTTAATTGCATAATGCAAACTGTTGATTTTCAAGAAAAAAAGAAGTGTTCATGCCCCGCATTCCAATGCTGGAGCAGGAAAGCTTGAAATACCTACCAAAACACTTGAATACAGACATACTGTCAGTATGGAATGGATCTGAGCAGGTATTAATTAAGTTAAGCCTGTTAAATTCCAACAGCCAATCAGCAAGGAGAATAGAGGAAAGCTGCATGCCTATTGGTTGATGCCCTGCATTCCATTGTGATGACTCATGCCCAAATGTGGTAACACTGCACACTAACTCAGTAATACATTTGCTATAACACAGCCAAAAAAACTCAAATAAAACCATTCTAAAAGCCTGTATCACAATAATTCAAAAAACGCCTAGGGGTATTTGCCCACTGTACCTCCATACCAAATTTCAGGACCTTGGGCCCTAAAATGAAGAAGCTGAATCCATTTAAAAAATGGCAGGAGAAGAAGAAGGAGAAGGAGAAGAAACATCAGAAAAAGCAATATGGGTTCACCACCACTTCGTGGTGTGGTGAACCCATAATAACTAGCAAGAATTATTTTCTTACCGATACAGTCTGACCCAACCGGCGCGAACCCAGGGCGACAGACGCAGGCGGCCGTCACGTTCCCAGGTTCTGTGTAGCACCACTTGTTGTGCTTCCACGAGCATGTCGTGAGGCTACATCCCGGTTTCGGCTGCGGAGTGACTAAAGAATGACCAAAATAATCATCATAAATACACAGATACTGTAGTCATCCAGGAGTAGGATACGGTGGCACTATAAAGCGATGGTTACAGACCAATACTTTGTCTTTATATGAACTTGTGATCAAACGTTAACTATTCCTTTCATAGTAAAATGTTGAGCTTTATTCCAACACAGCATGTACAGAGTTACGGTTACAAACACGTCATCTTATTCACACGAGACTTTACGGATACGTGACGTCAGCAAACGTGCCAGGGAGTCTATATCGTCCACCGTCTCTATAAGTGATGGCTGGAGTGCCCTGATATGTATGACCTCTAGCTTTATACCCCTTCCTGTTTCTTTCATGTTCTTAGATTTCGCTATGGCTAGAAAACATACCCCCTCCTCAAAGACAATGTATGTTGAAATCTTTGGAAAACATTAACCTTTGACGTCTGACTGCCTCAGCGGTGGTGTGACCGGGTTGTTTTGGGCAGGCTGTACCCGGGCGGCCCTCCCGCTCGGCACGGTCGTCAGGACCAGGACCAGCGCCAGGGTGAGCGGTGTCCAGCGCCTCATGACGGAGTCCGCTCCGCCGACTGCTGCGACCCGTACGGTACCAGGACGACGCCTGGTTAGCTACCACAGCCCGGCGCCTGGAAGGGAAACATGGCCAGCGTCACTTTGGTTTGGTTAAAGCCACAACAAATCCACAACAGTAAAGGTAACATGACCTGTGTCACTTTGATTTGGCCAAATCCACAACAGTTCATTAAAAAAGTATTGAAATATGGATTGAGTTGTAGAAAAACTAAAATGAAACGAATTGAAACAGCTGTCGTTTTAGTCTTGGCCCAGTTTGATATGAGTTATGCCGGAGAATAGAAACGTTGTCACACACTCACAGCTATCGGACATGTTTTGATAATGTTCCCGCCACCATAACCGTGACATCTCAGATCGCATACACTCAATTCCGACCATTTGTGAAGGCTTGCATTGAAATGACCTACTTAGTATTCTGTCGCTTCTATGTCCAACGGGCACCGTCAGGGAGTGAGATTTACAACTTCGACGAAGAAAACCCAACGATAAGTGTTGACAAGTTGAAAAACATATCGCTCTCAGGTCAACATTGCGCAGTTTCTTCAAAGTTAATTTGATTTACGTATTTTGTCGTAGGCAGTTGGACCGGTGCTCTTGACGTCACGCGGTCTCCATGTGACCCATAATTGCTTTCCCGCGCCACAAGATAATTGCCGATGTTTGGGACTAAGTTTTGCCCAAATTTAGCAATGTGCGCGGTATACTAGCCGAATAGAATAGCCATAAACTCAAAACACATGATTAAGGCAAGGAAGTTTGAAGGTTTGTTCCACGTTTGTTAAAAATAAAGCACCAATAATTTTTTACTGAGCACATAAAGAGGTAAAGGAAAGGGGCGGTACAGTAACAAGTTTGGCAGATGTTGCTACCGACATCAACACAACTTCGTTTGAGATACGTTAACATCACTTTTGTTTCCTTAAATGTACAACAAAATCTCTACACTAACTTCCCATAGTGTGTCTGTTTTCCTCTCTTTAATTGTTTTTTTTTTATTCTGACACTGTAGTATACCCCCATAGCATCATTTGCGGTACATCCCAATACAGATTTAGAACAACACAATAACCTCTGTCTACCGTTCACAAAAACCCATTTATTAAGGTCAGCAACTTAGTAATCGCATTAGGAAGCAACGTGGCAAATTGTATTTTAGAAAATCACGTTGATGCACACGTTTCTATGGGCTGAAAACCAGCAGCTTAAGAAATTTGAGAAGACTCTAATTGTTGTTTTCAGCTAGTCCTCTGTTCACTGTCCTTTGACTGACATTTCAAAGAGGAAGAACCGGTTCAGACTTAATTGCTCACAGTGCCTTCAGAAAGGTCTTTTTAGTCATTTGGGTTCGTCCAAAACGTCTGTAACTCACAGTAGACTAAATCAAATCACTTCAAAGAAGGCCATAAAGAAAGGCCTCCGTGTAAGAAAAACACATCTCAGATAATGAAGTTCACTTCTAAATCGCGAAATCAACTTACCCTATGGGAAAACCTCCCCAGCAAAGACTAATTAAGGCTTGACAAATGTAGTTCTATGCATAGAGGTACTGTGTATAATGATTAGATTAAACATTAGATTGTCATCATGTAGTGTCATTTTCATTAAACGAAAACGCTACTTTCAGAGCATTCTGTGACGTCGTTGTAGAGCAAAACTATGTACACCTTTTTTTTTCTCCCTAGGTACCAGTTTTGTTACTATTAGCGACCTTCTGTGCGAATAGCTTCAATTGTGACAGTCAGTCAGTTGAAGGTAATGTTTCAAATCCCGTTACTGTACGAGCTACAACTTGCGTACTCCGCAAATAGGATTCTCAGAAAGACCTCCACAAGTATTTTTGATCTACATGTAGCCACCAATCTGTTCCAAATTGCCTAAAGCTTCATGGGGGTCAACAAACTCTATCTTGTTGTAGAATGTACATTTTTAACATTTAGAAAGGGGACCAAGCTGTATCGCTATACTTGTTTTTCGTAGGCTGTGACAGTTTAAGTAAGATATCAACAATCGTTCTATGGGGTTGACAAAGAAACTGAGATTACTTGGGTAATGGCGGACAACTGATGACCTTTATAAATTTATGTAGTCACAGGACTAGTTCTGTCACAATGTTTTTCTTTCGAAAGTCAAGGTTTGAACAAACTTAACAAAATGTCATGATGTAGAGTAGATGGCAACAGAGCAACACATTAATTTGTGAGATGTCAGTGTTGAGAGAATGTTGCTTACCTCTCGGTGCGGCTGGGTGAAGATCTGGCCCTTGTTCACTCCAATGGCGCCAGGTGCTCTCTGACGGATACCTGCCTTGCGCCTCGTAAACTAAGAGGCTAAACATGGGGGTTAATGGACTACACTTTTGTGAGTGATTTTGTGAACGTTTTGGACTATATTCAAACGTAGTTTCAGATTTCCAGTGAGATATATTTAGGCAATATATGTGCAAATTGTTTTCACACAGCGAAATTTCATAAAAGACTTGGAAGGAGCAGTGAAAGGTATTCCGGAAAACCACACGCGATCCTTCAGCCATGTGGACGTGGTTGCATGGTAAGTTTTACAGAGTTGCTCGAGGCAAGGCTAGTCCATCATCGAGTGGGTAGGTCAGTACTTTGTTACAACCTACCCAGGTATGTTGTTGTCTACCATGCCCTGAAGGCGTCTACATAGATTGCGGTCGTCTGCCCTTGATATCACAGACAAACTAGCGGCGTCAAACAAAAATATGGCGTCTTGTAATATTCTTGGGGTTTTACAGTTTTAAAATGTTGTTCGCACAACTTTGTTTTTTGATGGCAAGATATAGATGAAAGGTGTGAAAAAATATCAGGGGCGTCAACAGCAGGGGGTCAATCTGCCCTAGAAAAGTGCCGGTACGAACCAAATTGAAAACTTCAGATACACCTTTTCCCCAAAGTAATATTTGGACAAAGCCTTTAAAAATCCAGTGGAGTATGACGAAGAAATGTAACTCTGAAGGCAGTACATTTTAGTATGAGCTCTTGTACCACTTGCGTATAAATCACAACATAACGAAATCATAGAACACCCCCGCACAGCTCACAATAGACTCTGCCAAAGGACCTCGTGTGCAGTGACTCGTTGTAAGATAATTGTACCTCATGTAGCTTACGTAGAAACCCAGCAATAGTGGATTAAACCGCAGTGGCCCAACCCCATGGCTTTGTAGATAGGACTGAGGGAAAGTTAATTTGGCGGGAAAAATTGGCCGGCATCACGCATGAAGGATAAACCCATGCCGTCAAGACCAGTTGTTAGATGATTCACAAACGATTTTAACGGAGTTCTGAGTAGAAGGGCGGCATTTAACGTTATGTAAAGCAAAGGGCTAGCCTCTTCTACACAGCTACAATGCATTGATTAATGCAAAATCATATCAACTCTGACAGGTACTGTATAAAGGCACTGTGTTTGTGCATTACCACGAGAAAACGAAGAGAAAGAGAGGGAGAGAGAGAAGAAAAGACCATCCCCTCACACATCAAGCATGATGTAATGACCGGACGCAATAGTGTCTTTTCATTGGAACCAAGGCCAACAAATTGAGACAACGTCACTTCAAGGTCAGTGAAGGCTTGTGGGCATAGAACGGTTACTTAAATCTCACCTAAACCGTACGTCATGAATTCAGGTCATCAACCCTGGTCAGACGACACAACATTTGCATTTTATGCCATTTAAGAAAAAAGAAGTGGCCAATGCATAGATTTGTTGTGTTGTGTTGTGTTGTTTAGAAAAGGAAATATTTTTGTTTACATAACGTTACTGGGGAAATAAACAGGTACGTCATCTCCAATGTGACTGGAGGACCTAAATCATGCTTTAACCGCAAATAGTCATGTTTCGTATCGATACATTGCTCCATTTGTTCACACAAAATACCCGATAAAGTTGAAAAACACATTTTGGCACTCTAACAGGTGGTTAGGTCAACAGCCAATCAAATCTACGCTATCATTTCCCAGATCCCGATACGGGACGGGGAAGTGACCAATGGCAGGTCGCCTTCTATTGCTTACCTGTCGCCTAGCAACAATGCATGACGGGAAGGGACACAAACTCGAACTGCGAAATCCAAGATGGACGAAACGAAGAAACCGCTCCGAGTCCCGCCTGCTTTTGGAGTTTACGCCGAGAAACACGGCATTTTCGATCTCTACAAGGTACGGATATTGTCTCAAGAAGTGTTCCTATGCTAGCGGATGCAAATTACTGTCGGCATGTTCTCTGGAATTCTACCTTTCATTCAAATCTTGAGTTGGGAGGGGGGCAAATTATTTACTGTTGTCAACAACAACACATGTCGATGATTTATTTTATTTATTTTTATTTTCCGTCATTTTTATACAGGGTAACCCAATTCAGTGATGGCACTGCTTTTCAACGGGGCCCTGTATTACACAGCACAATACAACAATCACATACAAATAATAACATTAGCATACAAAAATTATACAATAAATAATTATGCATGTTAGCAAGGGGCATACGAGTGTCTTACAGCTTGAAAGATTATATGATTATATAGAGTTGAAAAGAGGGAACACCTAGGCTGGTTAAAGCACTGTGACAAGAACTCGTATTACATTTCCCTTAAGGCACTGGCGTTGACAAGATCTTGTATTATATTTTTCTTACTTTAAGGCACTGGCGATGACAACATTTTGTGTCATATTTTTCCATACAGAGGGTGATAGAGAACATTGTGATTGACAAGCCAGAGGAACCGTTACAGTACATCATCGACTACCTCAAGCGGGAGAATGACGATGGTAAGGATAGAATACATATGATCATAATTTCTTCATGCAGGTCAAACCAGTGGTGCTTACGAACAGTTGTATTGAAACTTATAGCTAATATGGACAAAAGTGGTACTGTATTATTAGCAGGCCTTAAACATTATGTGGCACATTATCTTCAAGACAAAAGTGTAGGATACTTGTGATAATGTACTACAATGGCACTACAACAGGCCCTCGGGTGGCCAACATTACAACAATGCAGACAACTTTTAACGTTTAACATTAATGTATAAGGCAATAAACAACCACATCACTATCGTAATACCAATACACACCATCCTCGAGCTCACAAAAAACAACACAATAAGACATCACCTACACTTTCACACATTTTCCTGCAAAACAGAGACTCACAGAGGTAGCTACTTTCCAACTCCAAGGACCACAAAAGAGTGGAACAGCCTGCCAGGTAATCTAGTTAGTGCAGCATCAGCTGATCAGTTCAAAGCTGGGGTGGCCATGTCCTATGGCCTTCCTAGTGCCACACATTAGCCACATTTAGCCCTAGGCGACTATTTTGTACATACCACAACTTCAATTTTTTTTGCGATATTTTGTTTTTGCACCACCATCACTGGTCGCACCTGGGCATTGACCCCGTGGACGTTACAACCCGTGAGGGGTATTGTCCAGTACTGTGTAGATAGACAGATGTTGCTAATCTTTTGTTGGCTGTAATAAAATCACCATGTGGGTTTCATTGCTGTTGCATGTCATTTGATGGTTGAGTGATTGAGATTGTATGAGACATTCTTCTAATTTTCATTGCAGTTCATCAAATCTGTATCCTGGGGCCTCCTGCAGCTGGCAAAAGGACAATTGTAAGAACACTTAAATTTAGTACTGTTTGGTTCAGTGTAATCTCATCCTAGAGACCATATTATTAATGTTATCAAAAAGGAACATCGTGCGTTTAAACCTTACTTTTTAGACTTTATCCTGTCTGATTAGAATTTGCTCATCTGAAACTTTTTGTCTCCTTGCCAGGCCAGAGAGGTGTGCAAGCGACTCCGTGTGGTTCACATCACCCCCGAGGCTCTGGTAGGGGATGACGTGAACCCTGTGGCAAAACAGGCCAGGAACATTGTCAAGAGTGGGGAGGTGAGGATTCTGTCATATGGTCCTTGTTCAAGGAATAGTTGCATCTTAAAATTGTGATTGGAATAATACAACATTTTTTAATATGTCTACATGTAATTTTTTTATTGGATAGAAAAGAAACAGGTCAAGTTACATTATGGCTGTTAAGAAAGAATGTTAGACACTCAAACAAGTAGGATATACAAAATGTATTTTACATTAATAATAATGCTTCCTGGATGCTTTGTAATCAATTATAGTGTTTTGTATGTTTTACCCCCATACAGTCCATCCCTGTGGAGGTCTGGGTCAGTCTGGTGAAGAACAGGATAAAGAGCCACGACTGCATCAAGAAGGTACAGACAAAACATTTATGAAACATTTTCACTTGAAGCAGATATGCAGCAACAGGTTCAACCTTTTGAGCATCTGGTTTATGCTGGTCTGCTCATGATCTGGCTGCTAATCATATCCTAATATGTGTTTTCCAGGGCTGGCTGTTGGAAGGCTTCCCACAGACCAGGGCCCAGGCTCAGGCTATCCAGGCTGAGGGAATCTCACCTAAACACTGTGGTATGTCACAATTGTCTTAAAGTCTTGATCCCTAGTACCTATGTGTACATCCTACAACATGCAGTATTGTTAGTGAAGAATAGATATTGTTAACTAATAGATGTCATTTACACTTTCATTGAAAAAATACAGGATTATAATTTGATTGTACTGACAGTGCAATCAAGTAGATTTAAGTATGTTTTCATTCATTAGAATCTAGCTTCAACATGCCATTGATTTTTTTATATCTGTAGTTGTTTTGGAGGCCCCAGACACTGTGCTGATTGAGCGTGTGGCAGGGAAGCGGGTTGACCCACAGACTGGAGGTGTGTTTAAGTAGGACTGTGTTCTCATCTACAATTCCTTTCAAATAACAAAACTGTTGATAACTCACTTTATGTCATACCTGGGCCACGATAATGTTCAATACTGGTGTTCCGGCGTGTGTCCAGATTGTAAAATCATCATCTAATGTGGTATTGTTACCTTCGCCAAGAAGGTTATGTTTTCAGAGGCGTTCGTGTGTCTGTGTGTGTGTGTGTGTGTGTGTGAGCACGATAACTCAAGAACGCCTGGATGGATTGTCTTGATATTTGGTAGGTGGGTAGGTCTTGATGAGACGTGGAACTGATTAGATTTTGGGCCCCCTAGCAGCTTGTTATGGTACTGCAGCTGAACTTCCGGTTTTGATATCTCGTGATCTAGACATGCTAGGCTGACGAAATTTGGGTAGTAGGTAGCTTTGGTGCTGGGGAACAAGTGACATGAGTTTGGGCCCCCTAGCAGCTTGCTCTGGAACTGCAGGGGCATTAGTTGAAAAATGTTTAAAGGTAGATAATTCAAGAACCGATTGATGGATCGTCGTGATTTTTGGCATGTAGGTAGCTGAAGTGATGCTTGACATAATGATATTACAATTATGCAAATATTAATGTAATTTGCATAATTAATGAGGAAATTCTATAAATCAGCTGCATTCCATGATAGGACTATTCAAGCTTGTGACATATGTAATTCAGAACGGCAGAAATACAGGCAGATATCAATTATGCAAATGAATACTTAATTTGCATAATTAATGAGAAACTGTTATAATTACATATTGGTAATGTCTGGAATTTCATACTTGGGATATTTGAAAGTTATGTGAAGGTGAACATAATTAAACATAACTTATTTAAATAAGGACCTCATTTGCATAATTTATGAGGACATGCTATAATGGCATGCATTGATAAGATAAAACTGTCTTCTGGTGTAGAATATGATCAACAGATATAATTGATGCAATATAGGATCCTATTTGCACAATCAGGGGATTAATCTATAATTTCTTAGTCATAAAGGCTAACATCATTTGGCGAAGGTATGAGATCGTGGAACTCTAGTTCTTCATCATTTCAGATGTGTACCACACAACATTTGATTGGCCGAGTAACTCGGAGATCGAGTCTCGGCTGGTTGTGCCGGAGGGAATCACAGAGGAATCTATGGTGAACAGCCTGGTGGAGTATCACAGGTGAGAGACATCATGGATCTCACTAGGCTATTTGAGCGTAGGGACCCCCTACGCTGTGATTTAGCCCCCTACAATGTCTTTCAACCAGTGTAGGGCTGTTTTTTGGGGGAGAACATTCATAAATATTTTTAAAAAATGAAAATAAAACTCTAAAATGAAGCTATAACAAGGGGAAAACAAAATCTGGCCCCCAGTAAGCAAGAAAAAGTGTCTCAGAGGGTTATGAGTTACAAAAATTTTTTTTGGGGGGGGAGAATACCAGACCCCCTGCTGTGGTCATGTTTTGGGGACAAAATGCGCTTCAGAAAGTTGCCCTTCTGTACCTGACCCATACACTCTGGTGAGAATCCTGAGCATTAGTAGAGCACACTATCATTTTTTGAAGGAATAAAGCAACAAACATAAATTCTCAAATACATTATGTATGATAAGCCTGAATGTGTAAGTTGTTTTCTTACATCTTTAACTTTCTTCCCTTCTCCAGGCATACAGCAGATGTCCTCAGATGTTTTCCCAAAGTCACCAAGAAAATCAATGCAGATCAACCCAAGGCTGACATCCTCGCACTAGGTAAGTCCCTGAAACCTTTTCTTCATAGTTGTTGGGTTTCAGTGATAATATTCTGCATGTTAGATTGTCATTGTGTTTACACATTATTTGTTTGTTTTCTGTGTAGTTTTGACATTCCTGAACAGCACCCCTCGCACGGCCGCCCCACACACCCCCAGGATCGTGCTGCTGGGCCCCACGGGTGCCGGCAAGTCTGTACAGGCCTCCCTCATCGCAAACAAGTACAACATCGTCAACTGTAAGTCAGGACCTTCTTTCATTTCATGGTTGAGATACCTATTAGACAAGTCTATAGTTTATTTCGTAGCAAATTTTAAGTTACAGTCACACTTGTCCCCTTCAGTTTTCTATGAGCAATATTTCTTTAGGTTTGAAAACTGTCAGCACAGATAGGTGGTCTGTAATTGACGTTGCCCCTGCTCTGTTGCAGTGTCCTGTGGTGCCCTGATTAAAGAGGCCATTGCTGACGAGACCAAGATTGGAGAAGCTATCAAGCCGTATGTGGAGCGAGGCATGATGGGTAAGGAACCCTGAGACACATGGAAACAAAAGAAACTAAAGAATTTTCTTAGAGAGAGAAAAGAAACATTATATGTCAATCTAACTATATTTCTTTTTGAAAAGAGATTTCTGTTTCCCTTACAAGCTTTGACTTTTGAATAATATTTATTGTTCAGATGTTTCTAGCTATTCTAGCATATGTACATGTGGCAGGTTGCTTATTTGGGAAAGCTATCTCCTATGTGGGCAGACCTGACTTGATATCATGCTACAGTTAAACTATTAGAACAACAAAAGAAATCAATGGTTCAGAACATCTGTGTAATTTCTCTTTAGTCCCAGACAACCTGGTGATGAAGGTCCTGAGTGATCGGCTGTCCCGACTGGACGCCGTTAGCCGCGGCTGGGTCATGCACGGCTTCCCCAGGACACGGGAACAGGCAGAGAGCCTGAAGGACGCCAACCTCGACCCCAACAGGTACGCAAAATAAAATCCTCTATTTTTTACATTATCTGGTGAACTACATAATGTGTATGATTGCAGTTAGGGATTGCTTTATACATCCTGCGTTTTAGCTAACTGAAATCAATGAAAAACATGTGTTGTTTTACCTCAGGGTGTTTTTCCTGGACATACCGAATGACTCTGTGATGGAGAGACTGGTTCTCAGGAGGACAGATCCTGTGACAGGAGAGAGGTGAGTTGTTCAACAAATTCCCTGAAATATCAAACTGAAAGCACCATCCCTGTCCTTGGTGCTGAATGATTCACACTAACCCTATCATCACTGTCCTTGGTGCTGAAATTTCATCATACGGAAAGCCCTTTACGTAGTTACTCAGTTACTCAAATTACTCAAGTTTCAGTATAATCACTTTATTAGCAAATATCTCAGTACTGTGGCTATCAAAGTCATTCAGTTCATCAGTTTGCCATTTCTTTTTGATAATGACTTTAAATGTGTTGGAAAACTCAGCTGACATGTACGTTGCTCTTCCCTAACCACAGGTATCATTTCCTGTACAATCCCCCGCGGACCAATGAGGTGAAAGCGCGCCTCCATCAGCACCCCAAGGACGAGGAGGAAGCCGTGAAGAAGCGTCTGATTGAGTACCATGCCTACGCGGAGGAGATCGCAGACTTCTACGAGGCGGCCATGAGGATCAACGCTGACCAGGACCCGCACACGGTGTTCGAGTTCATTGAGAGTATGATCGTTAACCCATTGCCTAAGAAGCATGGCGAGGACTAGCACTTACAACTTTCCATCTCACTTAGTCTAGTATATTCAGGGCTCAAAATACTTTTTCTGCACACCTGCAGTGGTGCAGGTAACATTGAAAATTACCTGCACCAAACAATTTTTACTTGCACCACTCAGAATTTATAGGAAGTATGGATCACACTATTGTCCAGAAACCATTACCATTATTTCTTTTATACTCTATAGGCAGTAACAGTCATAAAAATCCACATACACCTACGTGTACGTGTAAACCCTGTACCAGTGTAGGTAACGTGCGAGTATACGTAGACATAAGAAATACCTGAAACGCCCCAATTTTACCTACACAAAGGTGCACATGCAGCCAGTATTTCAAGCTCTGATATTATAACTAAAACTCTTACACCTCAGATTGGATTGGATGGATTTATGGTTGGGCTCTTACCAACAAATTGCTTTTAATTTAATGAACTCTTCCACTCTTGGCAGAAATATGGGGCTTTACTTTATTCAGACCCTCACAAAGCAGTTTGAATTCTATTTTGAGATATAGATATAGGAACAGACTGTAATAAAGTTTGTCTTATTAGAGTCCAATTTGTTTAAGTACGATTTTGGTGATAGAGGTTTAAGATGTAACAAACCAGACTCCTATATGAAGACTACAATGTGTATGACAAGACAGGAAAAGTCCATTTATGTTGTGTAACGTTCTATCAAATATTATGTTATAACTGTGTATGTTTCTGGTATCTAACAATACAGACTGTATAAAGACTACACTGTATATGACAAGAATGGAAAAGTTCAAGTTTATGTATGTTGTATAACACTCTATCAAATGTCATGTCATAAGTGTGTGTATTTCTGGTATGATATTGAAGTTACTTGTATTTGCACATGGAATTCCAGTATTTAGAATTCTTCCAAATTGCCTTACAAAAAAGCACCTAATGGTGTAGAAGGTTGCATTGTAGACACTGGTATGTCCAGAGAGAGAAGCACAGTTTTTGTACATATTGACATCTCTTGGACATCTCTGTGGAATTATATTCTGTCTCTGATAAATTCTATGTCAGATGACATTTTACACATTGACTGCTTTTGACCTTATTCATTGACTTATTATAATTAAACAACTAAATAGGAATAACGCAATATGATAGAACATACGTCTCTAAAACACGGAGGTGATCTGAGCAAGGAGGTTCTTATACAATGTATATAGTTCTAGTGATCTAACTCTTGGTAGGGCCAATTGATATGATCTTTTACTCTCCAAGCAGAGGTAGGGTTTTGGGGTATTTTTAGCGTGTTTTTAGGCTTTTTTATCGGGGTTTCTTTTTTTGCACTGAATTTTTTCCACCCAACCCAACAGCCTGCAGAGGTTGGGTTGGGTGGAAAAAAAATTCAGTGCAAAAAAAGAAACCCCGATAAAAAGCCTAAAAACACGCTAAAAATATCCCCAAACCTTACCTCTGCTTGGAGAGTAATGATCTTTGTGTAGACACATGCAGCTTGTATGCCCCTAGCCAGGACTTTGAGAGGGAGGGTCTTTCTTTCCAAGGTGTGAGGGACCAGCCAGCGCCGTAGGCTAATCTCCAAGCAGATCCCTATCGGTGGCAAAAGACAGTATCCATTAGCCCAGCTAAACTCCTATGGCTAATGGATACTGTCTTTTGCTACCGATAGGGATCTGCTTGGAGATTGCCGTAGGCACTGGAGCAGTTTTTCTACGATGTGACTAATATTCATCAGTTGCACATGTAGGAATAATAATGGAGCAGAAGAGGCCCTGAACTTATTAACATCCTGCTTGTGATCACTATGTACCTACTAGAATAATGAGATTCTATGAAATTTGTAGAAAATATCGAGCATTAGAAAGTCTGTGACTATATTACTAGACTATAACGTTATATAGTTGATCTAAGATAATCAGAAGATGTTTCATTCAGGTGCCCATCATGCACAACACAAAGGCGGTTCGAGCATTTGTCTCAAACTGCCAAAGTGTTCAGGTTCTTGGTCAGTAGCATGATGATCAATGCTCCGGCGATGGCAAAGATGGTTGCCAAGGGCGTGGTGGCCATGCTAGCAACATCGCCGCCTGCTCCGCCGGGCACAACGCTGACTGGTTCCGGCGGCACATTTTGACACTCTCCCAGGTCAGTGTTGCCTTCTTCGTCACCGTCAGATTTACCTTTGCCAGAAAATTGTTTTGCGTTGTTAATATACGATTAAGAAGGTTATAAATGAATGCTGTAACTACTAGCAATTATACTATAGATAATGTACTCGTAAAATTACTACCGCAAATGTAGTGCACTTCAGAACCTTTAACTTTCTCTTGATATATCTATGTCAAGTAAAAAGCTTGTCATGTGCTGTATAAACGCAGAAAAGTGCACTCACCGTCAGAGTCTACTCCTTCAAAGTCGTAGCCCAGTTGAGTTGACGCCTTGAAGACAGATCCGTGCGTGTAGGGCGGGAACAGCGGCACGATGTACTCGTCCCTGTTATGGCCTGGTGGGGCGCCATCTTGCGGGTACTCAGAAACAGCAGGCCTGCGTTGAACCCAGAAAAATCTCGGTCAGTCATATTTTAAACTTGTAACAAGTAGGTTCTATTAAAACCGTAAGTAAAATGTTTAATGCAACTGCATAACATGTCTATGTTTCTATGTAGCGTAGTTCCCTATGTGTATATATAGGATAGGAACGACCTCCGTTGCCCCTAATGGCGCTAGCAAACATGTTATGTAACGCATTATTCATCTGAAGTCCCCTTGGTTGAACTTTCGCCCCACTTCTCAAGTATAAAGTTGACACAAAGTACATATGTGGGCGTGAAAATGGAGGTATTGACCGGACTCTGTACGGTTGATCAGCAGTTTTGGTGCGAGTGAAAAATACCAGACCTCCGTATTACGGTATGCAGAATAAGAATAATATGTACATTGGAAACTTTGAGATGATTTTTTTTCAGATACCTTTTACTATATAGGGGTATAGCGGGGGATAATGTTGACTTGAATTATAGGAATTGGCTTAAAATGCGCACACAAAGGGGGAGACATAAGGGAAACACTTACTTGAACTTTCGAAGCCATTTCTCGAAGATACGGTCAATGGAGGCGTGATGAAGCCAGAAGATGGGGTCGTTAGAGGAGGTGGGCACGTCAGTCATGGTGCCGGTCAGGTAGATGTGTACATGGTTGTGGAGAGTGTGGGCCCCGGGTATCCTTTCTCCATTCGGTCCTGACGGGGGAAAAGTATAAAAGCGCATCGTAAAAGTTGACCGTCGTTGCATTCCTCACAAACTGCAATGCATGAAAAGCCCATTTGCAAATTGCAAAAATATATCGGTCACTTACGGTCTCTATGTCCATTACTAAGGTGTGTTTTCCACACCTCTACTTTGAAAACACTCACCTGTAGCATCTGGGCGATGTTTGCCGGTTGTTGTGTCCGCGTAGCCTTCCACCAGGTTACGAAAGACGCAGTCAGAAGTCTTGTCGAAAGGGTTCCTGTCAAACGTCGCAAAACGTAGTGCAAAATCGACCTCCTCCCTCCGAGGTAGCCAGGCCAGTGATTCTCCCCACTTCTCTGTATCCTGTCTTCCTGGATTTCTTGCCACCTTCCAAGGTGGGTCCCGTCGGTGGTTGGGGTCACACGGTTTTAGTATCCCGTGTTGTTCTTCTGAATCTTTGCAGAGAACTTCCCACCCAGAGAAAACTGAGCCGCTGTCCAGATTTCCGTTGTCGTCGTTGGCTCCCACAAAGTCGTTGGTGCAGATGTCACACTGCTCCGACGCGGTCCAGTCCCAGTACGGTATGGCCCAGTCTGGGTCGCCGTTGACCTCCTGGATGGACCGCTCCATTTCGAGTAGGAAGCCCCGATGCCAGGTCAGGAAGCCAACGGCATCATGCGCCATGTCCAGAACACAGTCACCATCGATTTTGCAAATGTCATTGTCTTCGGGCAAAATGGTGTCTCTTGAAGCGTAGTAGTGCATCCACACGAGGAGGTCATACACAGAAACATCGACAAAGCTCGGGTTGATCCCACCAGAGTTGACCATGGTGTCATAAAACTCTGTGGCCACGACGTAGTCACTCATGACGGTCTTCGCTCTGTTCAGGTAGGTCTGGTACTTCGCCCTTTCTTCAGACGAAAGACCTGTGACATTTTTGCGAACAAGAGTTTTGGTGACATCACAGACAGACCCATAACGCCCCCAGACACACTTGCTGCAGTCATAACCGGAGAAGGGGAATTCGCAGACGCATGATCGGTTGAAGAACAATTTTGGCCACTGGCTTCGGTCGTCTCGGGCATAGTTCGGCTTGTGGTCATAAACTTTCATGGTGCCGTCTGGGATAACCTGGCAGCTGCCCCGTCCAGGCCCGCCGCATGGCAGGGTGAAGCCGTCAGGTACGGGGCAGCACTCCTTCCTTCTCAGGTGCTCCGCCGTGGTACAGACGCGAGGGAACTGCGCCTCGGCAACATGTGCTGCATACGTGGCTACCACCACGTAAAGCACTGCTAATCCTGCTGCCTGCATTTTGACTGGGAATAGCAATCAGCAACCTCTCAAACTGAAACAGCCAAACACTGTGGCACTTTCACTTTCAACAATAGAGACTTTTCAAAACAACTATCCGTCCATGATGGTGCAACAGGCCAATTACTGCGTTAGACGGTCACGTGTGGAGAGCACGTGACCTGGACGCGCCATTGGCCAAAGCCTGACCACGTTTAAAATTAAGTTGTTTTTTTCGCTACGGAATACCAGTATCTAACGATGAATATTGATATTGTTCTGGTGTCTTGGCCTGGGGAGGGGCACCCATGTCATGGACATTACAAACAAAGGAAATCAAAGACTTAATCTTCTCTGCCGACTGCGACAGGTTGTTGTATGGCATACTTCTGTCTCGAGACACAATGGAGACCGTTGAGGTTACCGTACTCTATATTGCACACATTGCAATAGCAACCAGGTGACTCAACAACTTCAATATCTTTTAGCAGTCATACACACTCCGTTTCTATTATTAACATGGCAAAACGATTTTTAATCCGTAGGTAAATCTGACGATGATGAAGAGGGCAACACTAACCTGGGACAGTGTCAAAAGGGGTCAGAGACAGTCTATGGTGACGTTGCTATTGTTGCTGCTGTTGCTTTCATCATAGTGGTGATTATATCATTTGTCTGTTACAAACGTCGAAGTAATCCGCATGATTATTCAGCCAGGCCTAGTAGACTAGCGCTTTTGAAACCGGCGTCTCCCATCAGTTATCAGGCCGTAACAGCATAAGTGGTGAATCATGAAAAAAGTGGTCGGTTCTTAAAATAACTGACCAGTTTTTGGACCGTAACATTATACAGGGGAAAGGACACTAACAGTATTACGCTCACATAATCATCTGGAGAATATGATGAATATTAGTCATATATAATGGTTGCCTCTGTAAGGTTAGATGTTGTTTCCATAGCTCTATAGTGACATGTTCAATGATATATAATGGTATGCTTTGCTTGTGTGTTACTACATGTATACGTAGTATGCAAATTGTACAAGGTTTTAACGTGTTAATGTAGAAAGGTTTGGTTGGTACAATGTTTTATTATAGCATGCTGTAGAAGAGCTTGATACCAGAAACACGATGCACTTGTAAAAAAAACTCAGTATGCACCTCTTGTTGATAAAGACTGCTTTAATACAATAGGTGATCTGAGCAAGGTAGTTCTTATATAGTTCTAGTGATCTAACTCTTGGTGTAGACACATGCAGCTTGCATGCCCGTAGCCAGGATTTTGAGAGGGGGGGGGTCTTTCTTTCCTGTCTCCCTGGATTTCTTGTTACCTTCCAAGGTGGGTCCCGTCGGTGGTTGGGATCACACGGTTTTAGTATCCCGTGTTGTTCTTCTGCGTCTTTGCAGAGAACTTTCCCATCCAGAGAAAACTGATTGATTAGTTACCACACTTTAACTTTTTGCTTCGTTAGATTGATACTAGTACCCCAGGTTTTACAATATTATTTCTGTAACGAAATAATAATATTTCAAGCCCCCGGGCCCCATGCAGACCCTTATACACTGCCATGTGCACTGACTACCCTGCAGGCAAATGGCAGGAATAGGCGCATGCGTATCGCATATGCGTATTGTTTTGGAAGGTCAGAAAACAGCTCTCTATTGTTGAAAGTAAAAGTGCCACAGTATATCTGGCTGCTTCCGTTTGAGAGGTTGCTGATTGCTATTCCAAGTCAAAATGCAGACAGCCGGGTTACTTGTGCTTTACATGGTGGTAGCCACCTTTGTAGCACCTGTTGCCGAGGCGCAGTTCCCTCGCGTCTGTACCACGGCGGAGTACCTGAGAAGGAAGGAGTGCTGCCCCGTACCTGACGGTTACACCCTGCCATGCGGCGGGCCTGGACGGGGCAGCTGCCAGGTTATCCCAGACGGCACCATGAAAGTTTATGACCACAAGCCGAACTATGCCCGAGACGACCGAAGCCAGTGGCCAAAATTGTTCTTCAACCGATCATATGCATGCGCCTGCGAATTCCCCTTCTCTGGTTATGACTGCAGCAAGTGTGTCTGGGGGCGTTATGGGTCTGTCTGTGATGTCACCAAAACTATTGTTCGCAAAAATGTCACAGGTCTTTCGTCTGAAGAAAGGGTGAAGTACCAGACCTACCTGAACAGGGCGAAGACAGTCGTGAGCGACTACGTCGTGGCTACAGAGTTTTATGACACCATGGTCAACTCTGGTGGGATCAACCCGAGCTTTGTCGATGTTTCTGTGTATGATTTCCTTGTGTGGATGCACTACTACGCTTCAAGAGACACGATTTTGCCTGAAGATAATGACATTTGCAAAATCGATGGTGACTGTGTTCTGGACATGGCGCATGATGCCGTTGGCTTCCTCACCTGGCATCGCGGATTCCTACTCGAAATGGAGCGGTCCATCCAGGAGGTCAACAGCGACCCAGACTGGGCCATACCGTACTGGGACTGGACAGCGTCGGAGCAGTGTGACATCTGCACCAACGACTTTGTGGGAGCCAACGACGACAACGGGAATCTGGACAGCGGGTCAGTTTTCTCTGGATGGGAAGTTCTCTGCAAAGACTCAGAAGAACAACACGGGATACTAAAACCGTGTGACCCCAACCACCGACGGGACCCACCTTGGAAACTGGCAAGAAACCCAGGGAGACAGGACACTGTGAAGTGGGGAGAATCACTGGCCAGGCTACCTCGGAGGGAGGAGGTCAATTTTGCACTACGTTTTGCGACGTTTGACAGCAGCCCTTTCGATAAGATTTCTGACTGCGTCTTTCGTAACCTGGTGGAAGGCTATGCGGACACAAAAACCGGCAAACATCGCCCAGATGCTACAGGTGAGTGTTTGCAAAGTGGAGTTGCGTGGAAAACACACCCTACTAATGAATTTTAAAACATAGAGGCCATAACTGACTGTCCAAATGGGCTTTTCAGACATTGCAGGTTGTGAGGAATGCAACGATGGTCATCTTATACGATGCGCTTTTCAAACTTAATTCTATACTTTCCCCTATCAGGACCGAATGGAGAAAAGATACCCGGGGCCCACACTCTCCACAACCATGTACACATCTACCTGACCGGCACCATGACTGACGTGCCCACCTCCTCTAACGACCCCATCTTCTGGCTTCATCACGCCTCCATTGACCGTATCTTCGAAAAATGGCTGCGAAAGTTCAAGTGAGTGTTTCTTTTTATTTGTTGTTCTCCTTCGTGTACGCATCTTAATACGAGTCCTAAAACTTTACGCCCCTTTCAGCCAACTTTATCCTCAGCTATCATGCCATGTACTAAAAAGTATCTAAGTGTAGAATATTTTATGTAGAATATTCCGCATGCGCTAGTTTCAGTAAAACCCAAATACAGTCCATACAGATGCCTGCTACAAACTTCTGTTTTACCTATATTCGCCAACCTGTCATTACCTCCATGATTACCTCCATGAAAAATGGAGGTATTGTTTTTGGCGTGTCTGTCTGTATGTATGTATGTATGTCTGTATGTCTGTGTGTCTGTCTGTCTCAGTGTTTCCGCAACTTTGTGGTCAGCATAACTTCAGAACGCCTTTATGGATTATGATGATATTTGGTATGTTGGTAAGTCTTAGGAAGACAAAGATCAAGGTCAAATATGGGCCTCCTGGTGGATGACCTTGGTACTGCAGCAGAACTTCCGGTTTTTGTATCTTTTGTCCTGAACATGCTATGGTCTTGATGTTTTGGTGACAAATTGCTTTTCCTGTCAGGAATAAGTGGTGTTTGGTCCCCCTAGCAGCTTGTTCTGGAACTGCAGGGCACTTTCTGGCGAAATGTTTAAAAGCCAATAAGTCCAGATAGGAACAACATATTTTCATAATTTTTGGTGTGTAGGTAGCTGAGAGAGAGATGTACATGATTAAATGCAAATTATGCAAATGAGGACTTTATTTGCATAATTAATGAGGAAATTCTATAATTACAGTGTTTTACATTATACTACTTTCATACATGTAATGTATGTAACCTATGGCAGGCAGAACATCAACAGATACTAATTATGCAAATGATGACCTAATTTGCATAATTTATGCAAAAATTCTATGATTTCTTAATGGTGAATGATGGGAATGTCAAACTTGGGACATCTGTAAATTAATCAAAAGTTCACATACATCACGATGCATATATCATGTTAATGCGGAGGTAATTTGCATAATTAAAGAGGAAATTTACATTTACATATCAAGCCCATATTTCATGGAGGTATGAAGTCTCAGAATTTTTGTTGCATGGTATGTACCTTCAGGCAAGCACGAGGATACAAACGAACTAGTTTGTTGTGTAAACACCGAGCCCGGACTTTTAAGCTTTCTAAGAAGCCCCTCACCCTCAGTTGCCTCTCCCTATATCAGTATATGGTATTAATGGTCAAATGCTCGCCTTTAGTATCTTTCATCCTCAAGTTGATCCAGTTATGCAGTAAAGCTTTTAACGCAAGTTATCACAGACAGAGACTTTCCGTTTCCACGCAGACCTGCTGTTTCTGAGTATCCGCAAGATGGCGCTCCACCAGGCCATAACAGGGACGAGTACATCGTGCCGCTGTTCCCGCCCTACACGCACGGGTCTGTCTTCAAGGCGTCAACTCAACTGGGCTACGACTTTGAAGGAGTAGACGCTGACGGTGAGTGCACTTTTCTGCACAATATTCGACAAGGTTTTCACCTGACACACATATACATGTCAAGATAATTTCAGGTATAGGTTTTGGAGACGTAGTCATTTGCATACGTCATAGTATACACCTAATCGCAAAAACATGGCTCAACAACTCCAATATTGCTAGTAGGCACTGCATTTATTCACCTTGTCTGTTCTTAACATAGCAAACGATTTTTTTTCTTTTTAATCTGAAGGTAAATCTGACGGTGATGAAGAAGGCAACACTGACTTGGGAGAGTGTCAAAAGCTGTCCGAGGCAGTCAGCCTCGTTGCTAGCATGGCCACGCCCTTGGCAACCATCGTTGGAGCATTGGTTATCATGCTACTGACCAAATAACTAATTGTGGCAGTTTGGCACAATGCATGGGTCTCCTTGGTACATGCTTGGTACATGAACCTGAGTACATTTTCTGATTATCCTATATCAATTATAGTCTAGCAATAGTCCCATTTTTTAATGCTCGATATTTTCTCCAAATTGCAAAACTAGAATCTCATACACGTAAACAAGCATTATTCTAGTAGGTACATAGTGGAAACGATCAAATAGGTGTAACTATACGTAGTATGCACATTGTGCAAGGTTTTAACGTGTTCATAGAAAAGTTTGTTTGGTACTGTAATGTTTTACCATAGCATGCTATAGAAGTGCTTGATGTTCAAATACTGTGCACTGTCTATAAAAAATACACATCTGTTGTTTATAAAGACTGCTTTAATACATATGTAACATGTATACAGTAGAACATATGTATGTACATCATCGCATAAATAGGTACGGCTTCAGCACTGGAGATAAGAATGACAACATAACAACATAAGAACCATCATATGATAACAGGACGTCAGCTCCTTTCCAACATTACATTGTTTTGAACACAATGAGAAGTTGACAAATAAATAATTTGCTACTATCGTACATACAATGTTGATGTTGGCAGGGCTACCTTAACAAAACCAAATAAATTTTTGGCAGCTAAACTTAACAATATGGAGATGCTTTTTATTGGGAACAATTTACTACTGTAACAATGTAAGTGCAAAAAGCAGATAAAGGCTAGAATGGTGAAGACATTATGACTATAAAATGCGGAGAACTTGCATACTTTTACTACAGTTAAATTGTATCAGATATGTTTATAGTCATCTGCTTTCTGCTACAATGGTTGATATTTTGCTGTACATTTCCACAACTTTACCCAGTCATAAACTCTATTAAATATAGAATGTTCCAACCGTTACCTTACTTTTCGTATTGATACTGTTCCAGTGTCTTCCTTCAAAACTTAACACAAATGTGTCAACAACGTTTTTGCCGTAGCTTGCCTTTGAAAGTATTTACTGACCTTATTGCTGAATTGAGACAAGACAACAAGTCCTTTCTCACTCTTTCTCTCTATATGGCATTACACTTTCCTAGTAACCATCATTACATAAAGGTTTATGTCCTATTAGGGAGTTTTCTGAGGTATGTCTTCTGTGTAAAACATTTTACTGCATATTTCATCACAGACTTTGATGTTATGAAAGACCCCATGAGCGTCAAAATGGGTACATGTACATGTATGTACAACGTGACAACTTTTGTGACATCCACGTTTTCTTCACCCATCAGTCAGTTGACAAACACATTCCACGTTATGTACATTTTCTTCCTCATACAAGAAATATTTTCTTAGAGACAGAAATCTTCATTTTGAAGCACTGCTTGGCACCGATATATGTGATTTGGTGCTTGTCAGTTTAAGGTGGTGGTTTACATGTACACTGAAGGGCTGGGTTTTGAAGTTTGGAAAACAGTTACTGCATTTTTCCAACTTCCAATACAGTAGCCTCAAAAAATCTGCCATGTACTCAAGTTGTTGATACGTCAGTACTTTTCTTTAAAATCTTACAAAATGCAGCTTTTTCTGCAAAGTCTTTCCACACCAATGGCTTACAGAAGTTTCCTACCAGTATAAACACTAAGAGTTGTTATGGTGTACAGTATGATACAACAGCACATTGCTGTGTGACGTGTCAGGAAGGTTCTGTGGTGGCTGGGGGGAGGGGAGGGGGTGAGAAGTGAAGCTGATGTTCGGGTTCAACCTTAGCGTGCTGAGGGGGTCTGATACGTAACCTGAAAATCAAACAAACAAGAATCAGCTCAAGGCAATATTTTAAGAGTCCTAATGTATAATATGCATTAAGTTTGTAAATTGCAGTGCACAAAATTCGGAATTGAACTACATGATATCATGTAGTAAAAAAAAGTGTGGATGAAGTTTTTTACCATTTTTGTTGGGACTGGGAAAGGTGGGTAGAACTTTCCTGATATCCTCCATGGTCAGTCCTTGTGGTTTGCTGCAGGGGATGAGGTGAAATGATAATAAAACGGTTTTGTCTTGAGGAAGACATTAACTTCACATTATGATACTTTCAATGGTATAGCTAGCCTTATAGAATGCATAGTACATAGTGTGTAAAAGCTAGGGAAGGTATCATTTGTATCAAATTCATCTCAAGCAAGGTAAGAAATAATGGATATTTTATAGATAAAATTGCAGATAAAAACTGCAGATAAAAACTGTGGATGACGATTGTACATAAAAAACTGTAACAGTTTTAGTCTCTTGCTTGCTAAGCTACCATCAGTATGAAAGTCGTCTGAAGTAAGGAGCTGAAATTGTGTCCTACCCGATCCCAGCCCCGGCGGACTCCCACTGTTTCCTCAGGGCATTAACATGACCGGGCGTCGGCACTGTCCCGTTTTCCTCGGACGTGGCGGGGATGGGCGCCCCGCTGGAAAATGTCACCGTCGTACCACTGATGGCTGCTGTCGCACTCTTTGGAAAACAAAAATGAAAAAATATTGAAGCAAAACAGCAGTACAGTTTGCGAGGATGTCTTCATTCACATTACAGCTTTTTTATTGAAATTACTCCAAGTATACAAAATAAATATTGGCAAATTAAAAAGACTTAAAGTTTGCAATTCTTAACTAATACAAACAACATTTTGTTAACCTTTATCCTGCTGCAAAAAGGAATGCAAATTCCGTCACATAGACAAATCTTCTTGTAACTTGAAAGAGTATTTCATTTTAAAACTTACCTCTACTGACTCCTTACACTCCTGCAACTTCTTCACAATCTGTTTGAACTCTGGCCGCTCCTGAGGATGGAGGGAGCAATAAGCAAGACTTAGTGTCATGAAAACTGACTCACACACGAGACTTATAAGAATTATAAGGCTACGTAAGTAAAGGTTAGATATCCAGGTAATAATACATGCAAAAAAAAAACAATTACTCAAGCAACTGGAAATGATTTTGGAAATCATAAGGCTACATGTACATCAGACGTTTCAGAATCCGTGTGGTACCTCTGGTGTGGCGTGCCAGCCTATCTGTAGGAGGTAGGTGATCTGTTTAGGGAAGGTGATAGCGATGGGAGGGCGGGTGTTCCTGTACGCCATGTCTGCTGCTGCGGCAGCTGGGGTGGGGAAAGGGAATATTCATTTGGACAATTTGTCTTGTTCTTTGGACCAAGTTTATATGTACATCTTATATTCACTTTACTGTATTCTGTACTAAGTACTGTGTCATATGTTGACATATATTTTAAAGTCAATGATTTTCATGATATTAATTAGAATATTCCTAAATATCAAGGACATATATCCTTCTAACAAAACCTTTTTCAATTTAAGCTGAAATTCTATACAAAAAAACAACATTTCCGTAATGTGATTTCTTAATCTATTGATATACTAAGCAGCCTTCCTTACAAGAGTATGCCAAAAACATGCCATTCATTATAATCACTGAGACCAGACTGTTGGCTACCTTATCACATAGGCTTCAAAATCTATATGTATGTGGGTATACTGCGTCATGCAACAGTACAAAGTACAAATATACTTTAAATTCTGATTAACTAGGCCCATGACATACCTGGCTTGAGGTGTGCGAAAGGCAGCTCTCCTGCTAAGAGTTCCCACAAGACTAAGGAGTAGCTGAAGACGTCTGCTTTGATACTGTACTTGGTGCACTGGGTAAACACTTCAGGTGCCATCCATCTTAGGTTCTACAGGAAGATATACAATGTCATGTCATTACATTTGCCATAGATTATATCTCCTGGTGACATTATAAAAATATACATTGTGATTTTTTCTAGCATAGCAAAGCAAAATCCAGATGGTACCCAGGCTACAATCTAGCTGTATTCAGTTAAAATTCTACAAACTGTACATCAATTGATAGCGACTTTTTAAAAGGGCATGTTGCGACTGTACTATTGATTGCTGTGAGTTATTACATTGTTCAAGAATTTAAATTGTCTGGTTGACTACCTTTCAATGAATATTACATGCTAGTACTGCACTGTACAATATATACATGTACATGCAATACTATATACTATAAGCATCACTCATATTATTTCCCATAAGTACTGAAAAATATACTTCTTCATAGAGACACAGTGCGAATGAAATGTTCCTTACCCCTGGTTGTTTTGTCATGTTTTCATCGTCCTGAGACTTCAGAAATCTTGACTCTGAGAAAACAAACAGTAATACATGAGGTCTAAATGTACCAGGATAGTTAATTATCAATCTATGGATCATTTTCACATCAAAACAATGTTACTATCATGGTAAGGTAAAGCTGCAAGGAATCATGGTTTGATAAGAGTGGAACTTACCACCAAAGTCTGCAACAACTGAATGTCCTGATTCATGCAACAATATATTGTGGCTGTGGAGTAAAAAATAATACACATTATCAATGTTAGCAAGCCTAGCAGACCATAACATGACAGATATTATCCTGTACACTGCACAGTATACCAAAGAGGAATACAATATGACACAACAAGATAACACAGTAAAATCACTGTCAATTAAATACGCATATTGTGATAAACATAAGGATCATAAAACTTTGTGCTTGACTGCAACATTTCTATTATGTTTAATACGCTCTCAGAGACTTTATTCCAAATGTTAAGATGTTTTCATGCTCTCACCTGTTTAGATCTCTATGTATGATCGGCTGCTTCAAGTTGTGAAGATACTCCATTCCTTTGGCTACATCTAACGCTACTGTAATCTTGGACTGGAGGTCGATCACCCTGCAGATATAAAATATATCTTTATGATAACAATAAAACCATCTCACACAACACACCTGTAAGGTACTGTTTGGCTTTACAATTTTGTTTATGAATAAGACAGCTATTGTCGACAGTATATCTTCAGTACAGTGTATGTGAGATGTACATGTAGTCCTCTAGCCTGAAATATTATCCTGTACCTACATGTACCTAACATATACTGATACTGAGAGCAGTGTATCTAACAGTATCTAACCATAAAGGGTTATGGCCTGACATGTGTTGTGATTTGATGCAAAATCAATGATCAGGGCCAAATATAAAATCAGCTTCATACTTATAAAGCTTATGTTTTTCCTTGATGTTCTAACTACAGGTCTTGTGAATTCAAATTTGTTCCATGCATTATCAGGTAAAAATCTGTTACACTTCAACGACATAGGATCATGGTTGTACTACCTAGGGTCCCTGTCCTGGTAGCTGAAAGGCAAGCAGGCAAGCAGGGAAGTTATTGCATTCCAGGAAACATGCAAACTGATTTCCAAATATGGTCTGATTCCCAAATATGGACTACTACAATTTGATCGCAATATGCAATGTACCCTTCAGTATGACATGTAGTATTGTACATTTCTCTTTATCGGTTTTGATTCCATGTCAAAAGAAATTGGTAGGACAACATAAATGAAAATTATGCAAGGATCTTTGAAGTGAAACTAATCAAAATAACAGTTAGTTATCAAAGTTAAATATACACAGGAGATATTGAACCAGAAACAAAATTGAAGTGTTTTGTCAAATGTATCATTTCCAACTGATTCACTTCATACAACCGATTCACACAATACATAATTATACTCTGGCTTTCCACACTCCAATGTGGTACATGATTCAGTGATAGTGTACATCTACAGTCCTGATGTTTCTGTTCTAGCAAGGGAAAGTTGTATGTAGATGAAATGTATACCTTTGACCCTGTTTCCTACCTTTTCTGCTCATGAAGCAGGCTGAACAATGAACCTCCTGAGACATACTCTGTTACTATGGCAAATTGCTGCAAACACAAAGTGCACATTGTCAATATCAAATACTAATACTAGTACAATGTACTAGGATTCAATCACAACTGTACAGTAACTGTCACACTCTGTGACATTAGAAATTGTGGTACTGATGAATTTTCATTTTCACAAGTGCATTTAATGGATGAGAAAGTATAAACTAAGCCAAAAGGAAAATTAGTTAATGATGCTGCCATCCTTCAATACTCATTACATTATGCATTATTTTACACACAATATGATACTATATTTGAATGCTGCTGGCCAATTGACGACTGTTTTCAAGCTGTGAGAGTGACTTACGCTTGGGTCTTCGAGACAGGCCCCCACAAACTTGATGACATAGTCGCTGTTGAGTTTACACAGGATGGAAACTTCCCTGCAGAACATGTCTACATCTGACTTGGCACAGAACGCATTTGCACGATATCTGGGGAAAATCATAAGAAAAATGTCAAACAAATACACCCTTTAGAGAATGGCTCCTAGCAAAACCACTAACTAATATGTGACAAAGTATATACGTAAGTCAGAACACACCCAATACACCATGTAACAAGTACATGCATATATTGTACAACAGTTCTCGATTGACATTCATACCTTTTTACAGCAACTGTTGTCCCCTTGCACTTCCCTTTGTAAACCTTCCCAAAAGACCCTATGGAAGTACATTTCATGAGAAAAATAGAATTATAATATAGAACTATAAACTGACATGAAGTACTTTTTGAATTAATTGAATGACATTTATTTATGATAGAAAAAAAGATCACCTCTATAGCATTACATAACTTTGTTTGGTGTAAGTAAAAATTTGCCAGCTTAAGAGAAAATACAAGGAGTCAACTGACCACTGCCTATTGTTTCCTGAAACTCTATGTCCCCTATTTGAAGATGGAACTTCTGAGGTAAGGTTGACCTGAGATGAAGTACATCGATTTTCTCTGGAAAAAAGAACCATTAAACATTAATGTGAGTTACACTAAGCAATTTTTTGACAATGTAGTTGTGTATTACATTTAACAGTAATAACACTATGCAACTTTTATGGAAAATATTTTCAACATCTACTAAACAATGCAAAAATATTTTTCATGAAGTGCATTAAGAGTATATAATGAGCAGAGAAACACATTCTTGATCAGACTTTCCAATTCTTTTTTTTCTACAATAATTAAGAGAAAAAGGAGACAAGCCTTACCTTTTGTAAGACTTCGTAATTTTCCTAGAGGTGACGGCACAGAGACATAGGACCCGTCTGTGGAACAAACACAACGTCAACTCAAGGTCAATAAGGACAACATGTTTCAGATGGAAGATTAGGAAAATCTTTAGACCGCAATAGACATGTATTGAACATTATTGTTACTGCTAATGTTTTCTTAAATCTAGTGGGTAAAAGGTTCAAACAAATGGAAAAGTCAGTGTCACATTTGTTTTTAACATTATTTTCAAATCCTAGATTCTAAATCCTTCATTTAAAGATTTAACAGGAATAAATTAGCATAAAATTAACTTCTATGTACATGCACATCTTCCTACTGTATAGAAACCTGTAACGACAAGAGAAATAAGATTCTTTATTTGACTTCATATTTCACAATTGATGTTTGTTTTTTTCACAGTGCCTGTATTGTCTGCCTCATGTGTGCATATTCATGTTTTCCCACACATGCTTACTGCTGACACGTAGCACCTTGATTGGTCTGGAGAGGCAACAACAATGCAGTCACCGTTTCAAGCCAACTGTTAATCTTTCTTATAGTAGCAACATCCCTTACAGAGATCTTGAGACATGAAAACATGAACCAGTATTGTGGCCCAAGAGAAATTTTGTGAAAGGTAGCGCCTTGCTTTATTTCAGAGCTGCGTAGACATCTACAGCAGAAAGGCCTCTTGTCTGCTGGTAAGTTCCCTCCATTGTGTCTCTACATCAACATACATGTACCATGTTTACCTTGCAGTTCACAAACCTTATTAAGGATTTGTAATATGAGATTTCAGTAAGGATTTTGGAAAAGACTGGTGGTAGCATTTTTTTTCTGGAAGCTTTCCTTTCTGAAGCTATGTCAGATATATACTTTCACACAGCCATGTTGGTAATTACTTTATTTGTTATCTGAAAAGTACAACATATTGCAGCTTTTAAAGGTGTTAATCACATAAAGATGCAACTAGGACATAACAGCAACAAAAAATCTCTATTTATGATTTGTAAATTCAACAAGCAAGTTGTAATAAACACTTTTTCCCGGATAAATTATGATGATCCAAGATGGACTTTCTCACAGTCTGCAACAAACTCACAGCACATATTTTTTCTAGTTACGGCGCCAAGATGCCTACAAAAGTGCGCCTGCTGACACTACTGCTGTTCATTCCCTGGGTCTATGGCACTGACCTAGACTCCTACCCACGCCCTAACTCATCCTACGTGGCTGTTCCAACCAACATCCCCACTAAGACCCAGGTCCTGGAACTCTCCGAACACAACATCGACACTCTCACCACTGGTGAGTTCTATGGATAATCCTAGTATTTGCCCTCTACACTACTCTGTCTTTTACTAAATTAAATACAGGCCTGGTTATGTGTTTCCTATATATATATAACTTTTAGTAGCCAATCACCATATATTTATATCAGGGCTCTAGCCAGCTCAAAATATTTTCTGTCAGTCCAGGTTTATGATTGGACCTTGGGGAGTTCCAGGGGCAAATTTTGGATTTTCAAGCCTTTAAAAATTAAATTTCCCACATTTTGAGAGGCAAATCATGGGGTAGAGTGGTTGTTGGTAGTCAATTCAAGTTGGATGTTTTTATATTTTTATCCAAGATTTTTGCCAATTTTGTTGGCGGATTAGTTTGGAAATTTGACGGTCACAAAGTTCCTGCAATTGACGGGAAAACGGATGCTGGCTAGACCATAGCTATGTAACAGTACAATACCATATTTGGTAGTCATGGTCGGCGCATACTAGTGCATGACTTCAAAGGGTACACCAGGGAGGATCATGGGAGATTGTAAAATTTCCAAATCATTGCAAACACATAGAAAATAAAATGAGATAAATGGGGCAGTGACAAAGGTGAAAATTAAAAAAAAAATGTATAATGTTATTTCTTTTTTTAGGGCTAAAAAAATGAAGTACATAATCAAAAAAAAAAAAAAACTGTTCTAAACAAGTCGAATCATTCCTAAAATTTGTTTTGTCTAGGAGGTTTCTCCACCCTGAAGGAACTACTGAAACTGGTGATGACGAGGAACATCATCTCGACTATAGAGAAGGACGCCTTCAGGGGACTGGACAAGCTACAGGTGCTGGACCTCTCCTACAACAGGCTCACCTCCATCCAGGTCCACTACTTCAACAACATGCCTCTTCTCAAGATCCTTAACCTCAAGGTAACTTGCCCAGAAGAAATTTCATAAGAAATCAACAACAGAATTCTGTTTCTTGTAGTACGTTTACTAAATAAGTGAAATTTCTTAGCATATGATTCAATAAAAACAGTTGTTTACTTCAGTTCTAAAGCTAACGAATTTGAATAGTAAGTTGGTTCAGTTTGATAATATGCATTGTCTGCTCTGTGAATGCAAAGCACATAGAGAATATGCATATTAATAGTCTTGGTCCAATGTCCAACTGATATCACCTGGATATGCTATTAAAAAATTTCTAAATGCCTTCTACTATTTGTAATGGTTCACATTCACAATAGTAGTAGTGTGTACGTGATATATATTTTTTTCATATAACCTTGAAAGTTGAAAGTAATTTTAGTATTGACCAAAGCACATTTCCCCACAGGCCAATACCATCAAGACCATCACCCCTGGCTCCCTCGCGCCCCTACAGCAGCTACAAAACCTCATCCTCTGGGGCAACAAGCTGACAGATGTACCCTGGGAAGAGCTGCGTGGCCTCCCCGATTTGAAAACCGTCGACCTGAACAGCAACAACCTCCAGACGGTGCCCGAGGGGATCCACACCGGCTGGACCTCACTCAAGGAGCTGTACTACCACGACAACCCCTTCCACTGCGACTGCCGCCTCCGCTGGCTCAAGAAGTACCTCCAAACCAGCCTGATCAGCATGCTGGTCTACCGCTGCACTACACCCAAGCGTCTCCAGGGGGTGCAGCTGGCCTTTGTGCCTGCAGCCAGCCTGGTCTGCACCAAACCAAGCATCGCACACTGGGAAAAGCTGGTGTCTGTGAAGGCGGGGGAGAGAGCTACGCTGGTCTGTCAGGCTGACGGCGACCCTGAACCAGAGATCGCTTGGATGACTCCGGGCGGGACCGCGATCAAGGAAGGCGAGAGCGCTGGCAAGATGGAGGTGGCACGCCACGGAACCCTGACGATTACAAAGGCTGCACAGGACGACGGAGGGGCGTACACCTGCACCGCAAGCAACGCTGGAGGTCAGGACACCAAGGTCACCAAGGTCAACATCGTCGGGGAAGATGCCAGGATGTCTGCTGCCAATGCCACTGCCACTGCAGGGGGCTACCTGTGGGACAGCCCGGAGTTTGGGGTGTCCATGGGCATCGTCGCCATCCTGGCCCTGACCCTGGCTCTGATCGGTGTCGCTGTGTTCCTCCTCTTGAAGAGCAAGTGTCAGAAGGTCAAGCCGGCAGCTGAGGACAACCCCGGGACAGAGAAGCCAACGGAAGACAAGCCGGGCCAGGAGAAGGCACCCGAGAAGCCGGCTCCACCCAAGGACGCCGCCGTCAAGATGTCTGATGTGGAGAAGGGCCAGGTGGAGAAGGAAACCCCTGAGAAGGAGACTACCAAGAAGGAAGAAACTACCAAGGAGGAAGAAGGAGACAAGCCTGCCCCTCTGCAAATCAGCGACATGGGCAACGTGTGAAACACAAGAAACCAAAAATGCAAGGTTTTGGTGATCTGTTTTGGTCAGAAAATATTAATTCTTTCATTCTCTCAATCATTTCTTTCTCTGTAATACAGTAAATTTCATCCAAAGAATTGTTGTATTTTTCCATTTCCACAAAATTTCCTTGTAATCAACTATCTAGAATTACTGCACTGTACCTACCACTTCCACCTTGTGAATAGTCCCCACATGCCGACTCATCCTGTGGTCTTTTGTGGTGTTTCAGTAATGTCACTATAGCATCATGACCTGTGTAAAACAAAAACAAATTAATTCTCTTTCAGGATGTTATGATAGAGATATTTGGTTTTCTATTGGTGAAGAACTTTTCTAACTGAATTGCACACATTTGTACTTGTAAAGCTTTGAAAGTGTTACAGCAAAATATTTTGTATGAACCTTCCATGTGATAGACATTGGAAGCTTGAAATTAAGATGTATTGAGCAAGTCTTAGAATCAATATGTACAATCCAGAACTATTGATGCACATGTAATACACACTTTTCCTTTACTTGTAATGTCAGCATTTGCGCATTTACATGTGCCTTAGTAGTAATCATTGCAAAAGCAATATTCACCTGTACAGGGTAGTAGCCTTAATTATATTGCCATTGATTACTAAAGCATTATATTTTACACCTGAATATCAAGTAAATCATATTTCTTGCCTAATGCAATTCCATGATTAGTCAAAGGGCTACATATGTGCAAAGGAAGATGACAAAATCTGGAAGCAAAAGCTTAGGATGACTATTAATGAAATGATAGACAAAATTCTTGCCTCTTTCGTAAGCCCACATCAGGCAGGTCTGGTTCTGTTGGTCTTTCTCCTCTCCTTCCACTGATGGCTCCTGTTGCCTAGCGACCAGGTTCATGTCTGCGTTGTTGTCCAGGAGAAACTGGACCAGTCGTATGTGGCCGTGGTAACAGGCACTGTGGAGGGCTGGAGGTGGGGAGGGGGGCAAGGTCAGGTGGGGAGGGGGGCAAGGTCATCAGATACAGGCAGCAGCAGTCTACTACATGAAGATGTGATGTAAAACCACTACCAGTCTATCTACACGTATCGTAAATCCATAATGTTAGTACACACACATGTACTTACTTATGGTATGTGTCGCACAGACATTAATGTGACAACTTGACACTGCCAAAACTGTATGTTACACCTGAATTTGAACAGAATGCACTTGACAAAATGTTCAGAGTATGGCTGTTTTTGTGGTTATTTCTTACATGTTGTGCACTAACCATATAACAAGGACAAATTTCCTTTGTCAACTGCCAAAATACACAAAGGATGTATGCAACAAGAATGTACATACATGTACTTGATTTCAGGAACAGAAGCTCAAAAAAAGAGGAAAGTTTGGAATTTTGCAGAATGTTTAGAACTCTGTAAAAAGAGTACTTGTAGTTTATAAGGCTAGTATTACCTGTGTGTCCGTCCTGTCCCTGGTGGTTCACACTGACCCCTTCCTGTGCTAACAAGAACTTCACCAGCTCCAGACTTCTCCCATTGGTACATGCACTATAGGGGAAAACCAATGACATGAATTGGACAATCACCATATGAAAAGCCCTACAACTTCATCCAACTTATCCTGCTCTAACACACGGAAAAGATCAGTCATAAATAGTGAGCAGAATTCATATATATGAAGCAATTATGCTACAATTCACACATAAAACAGAGACAAAACAAAGGACCAACATGTGTTCAGTATTCCTGACCTGTGAAGAGGAGTTTCACTGAAGATGTTCTCCTTACTGAGACTGTCTCTTCCCGTGTGTTCTACAAGCTTCTTCACAGCCTCCACCTTTCCACCATAGCAGGCACTAAAGGTACAACAGAAAAACACATGTATGATATTTGGTATGATATTCACCAGCATTTCATTTGTGCCTTTTATGCCACAAAAGATGACATTCATCATAAATCATCTGTGAAATGCACTTTATTGAAGCATCCCACGCATATAGATTTAACAATATAAAAGAATAGGAATTCACCATTTTTAGGTAAATTACAGTGAAAACTAGTTAGACTGACTCTATTATATTCTCAAGATATTCAGAAGCTTATTTCTAGAGAGATACTCACTCTTTTACAGCCTGTCTTATCTAAGAAGTAGTTAAAGGATGAAAATCACAACAGCACTACAGTATTTCTAGAAAACAAAGCATGACAGCTCACAGATGCAGGGGTGTGTCTCCGTAGATGTTGGATATGTGAGGTTCCACCCCCCTGTCAGGCTGGAGTAGGTAGTTCAGGATAGGGAGGTGGCCGTGTCTGCAGCAGAAGTGCAGGGGGGTGTGCTCCTCATTGTCTCGTACATTCACTGTGGAGAAAAAAAATACAAAACATCCTTTTGTAAACAGTTTCATCCAGTTGGTAAATCGAGATATATTGTGTACTGGTTTCTTAGACACACAACCAGATGAATTTCATTTGCTATCGTTTCATTGTGACATACAATTGTAATGGCAAGCATGCGGTTCCAATCATAACTAGATTCTACTACAGAGACTTAGTTATTTTGGGACCACACATTTCCCACAATGTGGCAGGAAGTAGAATTTATCAAGCCCTGAGGAAGATTGCTAAATTTTCCCAAAAAGGTTCCCAAAACATCAATGATTATCAATATGTACATGTAACTTTGTAGGAAAGTACTGGTAATATATTTCTGTAACATGCAAAAGATGTCAATACTTTTTGAGCTACTACATCATATCTCACCATCTGCTTTGTTTTCTTCCTTGCCATCTACCAGTAGCTGCACATGTTTCAGGTGGCCCTTGGCACAAGCCAGGTGCAGGGGCCGGTCACCTACTTCACCTGTTGAGTTGATGTCTGCACCATGTCTTATCAATGTCTCTGCAATCTAAAGAAAAAAAAGTGACATTAAGCATACACATATAGTAATCTACCATATTTGACAATGCAAGATCTATATCTCTCCTGAAAATAGAGCTTTTCCAACATTGAATTACAACATTTCCATGGAAATTTTGTAGCCTGAAATCCAGCTGTGCAATTAGTGCCCCCTGGCAGCTAAAAGAGGTACTGCAACCTTGTGGTGAATCCCACCTTTTCGTGTCCAAAGTAGCAGGCGAGATGAAGAGGAGAGAACTTGACGACGTCCTGTGCGTTGACTGATGCTCCCCGCTCCAGGAGAAGGTCCACTACCTCCTCGTTCCCACACATACAGGCGATGTGGATGGGATGGACTCCCCCGAACCCTGACAGACAGATATCTGCCTTGTGGTCCAGTAGCAACTTCATCAATTCTATATCACCCTGAAAGAATTACAAACAATAATTACCTTCGCCAAGAAGGTTATGTTTTCAGAGGCGTTCGTGTATGTGTGTGTGTGTGTGTGTGTCTGTCTGTCTGTCTGTCTGTCTGTCAACACGATAACTTGAGAAGGCCTTGATGGATTGTCTTGATACTTGGTAGGTGGGTAGGTCTTGATGAGACCTCAAAATGATTAGATTTTGGACCCCCTAGCGGCTTGTTATGGTACTGCAGCTGAACTTCCGGTTTTGATATCTCATGATCTAGACATGTTATGGTGATGAAATTTGGGTGGTAGGTAGCTCTTGTGCTGGGGAAGAAGTGACGTGAGTTTGGGCCCCCTAGTGGCTTGCTCTGGAACTGCAGGGATATATTCTTGAAAATATTCAAAAGAGGATAACTCAATAACCGGTTGACGGATCGTCGTGATTTTTGGTATGTAGGTAGCTTACGTGATGCTTAATATAATTATGTGACAATTATGCAAATATGGATGTAATTTGCATAATTTATGGGGAAATTCTATAAATCAGCTGCATTCCATAATAAGACAATTGAAGCTTGTGACATTGGTAATTGACAACGAGAGAAACACATGCAGATATTGATTATGTTAATAATGACTTAATTTGCATAATTAATGAGAAAATTTTATAATTATGTAATGATAACTGCCTGTAATTTCATACTTATGGTATTTGAAAGTTAAGTTGAGGTGAACATCATTAAACATAATTTATTCAAATCAGGACCTCATTTGCATAATTTATTAGAAAATACTAGAATGCCTTGTTTGTTTATGTAAGACTGTCTTTTGGTTGGGATTATGATAAAATGATATAATTCATGAAAATTAGGTTCCTATTTCTTAAATCAGGGGGGAATAATCTAATCTATAATTTGTCAGTCATTTGGCGAAGGTATGAGATCGGGGAACTCTAGTTAAATTACTGTGGAAGACCAGACCATATATATGCATGTATTGTAAAATACTAGTAAAATCATAAACTTCTGGTCTCAATTTCTGGGTTTCTATGACAATTTGTTGATCATGTGACTTCATTTCTGAGAAGAGACTGAATTCTAAAGTTCTGACAATTCCTTCTTATAAGTGCACAAGACATTTGTACATAAATGATATGTAGCAAACAGATGGTTTGAAACAAAACAAAATTTCTGATTTTAGCTTTAGGGAATGGCAACACTACAATCACAATAATAAAATGTACCTAGCCTGGATGCAAGCCTTGTTAGTTTTTGTCTGACAGTGGGACCAAACTAAAGCTAACACCAAAGCTAACCTGTACCCACCCTATATGTTGCCAGATGTAGTGCAGAGAAGCCATTCTTGCTGAGCTGCCCAGGTTCTACTCCCTCAGACAATAACCACTCCACGTGAGCTCTCTCTCCTGCGGGGATGACACTCAGGGGCAGCAGGGTCAGTCCGTTCGGGGGCGGCGGCGCGGGACCATTCTCTGTCTCCTTCTCAAGGAGTTCCACATCTTGGGAGACCAGCTCCTTTATTTTCTCAAGGTCACCTCGACTGGAAGGTCACAATGTGGGAAAGGGTCAACATTAACCTTTAAAATCTACCAGTGAAACAGCTTGATTTAGACATGCAGGGTAGCAGTTATACTTATAGGTTGAAATAGCAAGTTTGAGAACCTTCTGTGCACAGGCTATTAATCAACTGTCCTGTGTGGTGTGATATACTGTTGATATTTACACTGACAGCAACACAAAACATGCATATAGTTCTTGGATCAATTATGCATGAGCTTTACAAAGTTGCCATAATGATTCCACCTTAAAGCAAGGAAAGGATATATAGGTTGGCATTTCAGACCCAATACATGGACAAGCTACTGCATTCTCACGGACTGAAGGTTTTTGCAGTGAAAATTGAGGATATTTCACCTGCATGCTGCCTGGATTTCTGTTAGCTCCACCCCTTCCTTCACCCGAAGGTCCTCACTTAGACGGGACCTGAGCACCGAGTAACTCTCACTGATCTTTTTCTTCCATTCCTCTGCCAAAAAAAAGGATAGAAATATTAGTTTATTATCTCTTGAGCTCTACTGACACTTTAGTGCATGAATTTGTTTTTCAAAATTAAATTCTGTATCAAAATCATAGCAGATACATGTACCTGCAAGAATTACATACATACTATTACTAAGTACATCGTATTTACTGTATATTATCATAGTCAAGGAAACCAGAATATAACTGATACTTTAAGATACTCATATTAGTGTAGACTGCAACCTTACAATGCCAATACTATACTATACTAAGCTATCTTTGGCAAAGGTATAGTTGGTATATCTAAATATAATTGAGATGACTACTAATAGTATATACAGCAGCCATGAGTAAAAGTAAAGCATGGTCGGTCTGGGTTATGTGTACAGGGACGTCTATATGTGTGGCTGGTGCTATGGTTGGCATCCTCTGACATTTTACCTACGTTTGGTCATATTTCAAACATGTGCCATGCAGGAATGGTCAGGCTAAACCATCACAGTGATTCACTGAAATATATTTCAAAAATCTTTAAAAACTATACTTGGACTTTAGTCTGAAACCCCCTAAAATTAAAGCAATGTCAAGTGAAGAGATTTGTAGAGTGTTGTAAAAATAAGATGACGAAGGGAATTCATGCATCATTTGAGTATTACACATCCAATTCTGTTGTTTTGTGCCAATTGTAAATATTTTCCTTCCTTGCTACTAGTAATCTAGTACTCTACTACTACCATCAGATGAAAATGGAAACATCTATCTACTGTAAGGGAATGAAAAGCTGGACTATGTTCCAATAGTAATATATCTTCTTAGGTGCTAAAAGGCAAGAAACCTAAATCCAGGTTTACAGACCTGCACATGAATGTTTGGGGCGTGACTTGTACTGTCCCATCCAGTTCCCTAAATCCCTGCTCCAGGGTTAGTGATGGTAATGAGGAGTACTGTCTTCCGCACTGAAAAAAACAAACAACGTATACGTGTGAATGATATACAGATGTGCTGTAATATCAATCACGGCTCAGGCAATACACATCAATATACAGAAATCACATCATACCGTTGCTATTTCACTGATGACAGACGTTCAAAAATAATGTAGATGTAGATATAGCGGTACTGTACTACGTCTTCAAATGAAAGATAATGTGATGCTATAAACGCGTTGCTATTAATCAGAAACAAAGGACGATTTCTATGTCGATGTTCAGGCGCATGCAATGGCTTGTGTACAATTTACCAGAAATTGAGCTTCAGCAAAAGCTTTTTAGCATCGGTCTCCCCTCTCAGTGTCTCACAACAAGCAACAAGGCATCCCGTTACTTCAGACTATCGCACAGCGCAATTTCACAGGGTTTGAAGGCCGAAGACGGAGCAAACTTTCCACTGCGCGTCATCACACAGCTATGGGATGAGGGTGGGGAAACGGGATGTAGTCCCTGACTATATTTGGATCGCTTGGAAATATTTTCGTCTGCTGGAAACAGACCGAACTGAAGCTCCACCGCGCGACTCAACCCACCCAAACACCTTTGTTTCCCTCTCCTTTGTACAGCAGCGGGGCGAAGAGCCGTCTTCGGGGTTGGCTAAGAAGGCGGTGGTGTCTTTCTGCATGTGGTAGAGCAAGCCGGTTGAGCTAGAAGTTGCCCACGATGGAAGATTTCTGGCTACAAATTCTTGGCGCTTGGACAGATCCCGCAAGCCGGTCTCTGAATCGGGGTGAAGTTCAGGCATCAAATATCGGGAGACTAGAATGTCACGATGATAGGGGTGGACAGGGTGATATCAACATTCTCATCCGTAGTCAACGTATCTGATTACCATTCCAAATAAAAGTAACATAAATAATATATCTTGTAAATTCCATATAAAGTACTAGAAATACCAAAACTGTCATGAATTATCTCTATTTAATAAATCATATCACTGTTTGCTTTAACTCCCCTATACATTTTTGGCATAGACTAGAACTGTCAGAGGTCAACAGGAAGCGTATACCCGTCATGCCATTCGCTAAAAAGTATGTCCACTACCTCAGGGGAGTATCGATACATTACATGGTATTTTTTGTCTAACAAAACTATATCTTTTCAAAAATATGAAAAGAATTTCATTTATGTCATTCAGTTTAATACAATAGTATTCAGTTATTGGTAAATTTTAGTATTCATTGGTATATTATAAAATGCAATATATCTCAGCACCCCTACTCTGATAATACCTACGGTCCACTTAACTCCCAATCGGCCAATAGTAACAGCTACACAAAACACGAAGCGTAGTGGGGAGCCCGGTGAGAGTTGTTTTGACGCTCACTTTCTATGGGAAACTGCAAAATGTTTCCAGATTAGTAAACAGCGTCTTTCTACGGGACGATGACGACCTAAAGGAGAGTTGAGATGGCGGTAGACCTGGCGAAGAACGCCGGCTTCGACCGAGAAGTCGTGCGGACTCGGCGGGGCGATCACCAGGAGTACTTCTCGTCCCTCCTCTGCAAGGACAAGCGGTCTCACGAGGCCCTAGAGATGCTCGTCTCTGACCTGCACGCGGACAAGGAGGGCACGGTCAGCACTTTCCTGAGCCACTCGGGGTCCGAGGATTTCCTGTGGGGGCTGGTCAGGCTGCTGGACACCGATAACCCAAGGTTAGGGCTGATCGATTTGACCATATCCTATCACTCGCCCACTTGTTGCTCAGCGTGCTTGAAAAATTGTGTTGATTGCAACAACATGAAGAGTTTTCTCGCCTGCCAACTTTTCAAATACTCAATCATGCCTTCCTGGCAGTTTCTTCAAGAACGTATGGTTCAGAAATTAAGAATAACACTCCTTGATTTCGTTAAGAAGTTACTGATATGAACTTCTTTTACTAAAGACACGGCGCCCTATACGCGTAGACGTCTGGCAGAAAAATTATCCTTTAGCTCGTTTACATGTACACATGTAACGTTACAGGATACAATAACCCCATTTTGTGAGAGATTATGATTTTTATTGAGTCGTCCCCTCAAGTCTAACTCCCCTTAAGTTTACTCGTATCTTACCTTTTAGAAGGATGGTTTCACATCATCTCTAAAATGGTGTTGCCACAAATTATGTAACATCAACAGTTTAAAGATGAGTACAGGTGTTGATTAGGTAACCCAATCTGTGGATGTTTTTGGTTAAGGTAGCCGCCCCGTACAGGTAGCATGCAGCAGGTGTATCACCTGTCCGACGCCTGACAGGTGCCGCACCTGTAATTCGCTTGTATTGTATCGGAGTTGCACTGCTTTTTGCAGCGTGCCCAGAGGAAAAGGTAATTATCTAAGCTAGTGTCCCGGAAAAATTGTACTCTAGGTCATGCAGGACACAGTGGACACTGAACACTGAGTATAAGGTAAATGTGTTTATATCAGTGACTGATATAAACACATTTACCTTATACTAGTTCAGTAGTTACAAGTAAGTATACAAGTAGATATACACATAAGTTTCTAATATTAGATTGATATGAACTAAAAGGTTCTATACTGTAATAGCAGTGCATCTACACCTGAGAAAAAATTGTGTTTTTTGGAAATTAAGTCAGAATCAAATTCCAAGGATTGGAAATATTCATTGTTGGTATGAATCCTGTGTACAAAAAGGGGTCTTTGAAAAGTTTCCCTGTGTGTGAATGTACAGGGCGACCTTCACATGATTGAATCGGTAAATAGAAGTGCATTTGTGTGTGTACCGAAGCAGGATGTGGAGAAATGGAAGAGGATCAAGGTTTAACCATGACGGCAAGGTCAAGTACATTGGGTAGTTAATTGGTGTTCCTTTTGATGAGAAGCCAGGTGTGAATCGCGTTGTGTAGAGCAGTCACAAACAATAGTGGGACTTTAATAGGCGGGTTATGTGTAGTGTTGAAAGACAGTTGTTTTCTTTCTTTTTTTTTCATTGGATCTCCTTGGCCAGACCATTCCTTTTCATATCAAGAAAGGGAAAAAAAGACAAATACAGGTATAGTCCCTCCCTCTGGTGTGATATGGTTTCTCCCTGTTGGGGGTAAACAGTTGAGAGTTATGGCAACCTACAATTTACCAAATCTAAAGGTACATTGTGTAGACACACAAAGTGACAAGTGGTATCCTAGGTGATGCTTTATCATTTTTACGTTAATTACATTCCTATCATTATCAGTGTTAGCTCACCTAGCTACTCTGTACATATTGAATTTCGCATATTCAATTCAAGTGCTGTGCTATGCTGTTTAAGTATTCACAGACATTAACTTTGATCTTGCTACATGTGTACTTTCTACTGTGACTAATCCCATATTTTTTCATAGCTCGATCATCAGGTAATTATCTCAGCTTGTAGTTCTTTCTTTAGCAACACAGAAACCACGAGACGAGCGGGGGCCCGCATGCCTTTTTCCGTAGAGCGTAATCGGCCATTTTAATTCTATGTAGAGCATAGACAGACCGCTCTAATTCAACATAAAGCGTAATTGCGGCATTTTGTGTAGAGCGTAATTCGCCATTTGATTCTACGTAATGCGTTGTAGCTACCGGAATTTACTGAATTCATGAAGTCAGCGTAAAAATTTAACGTGGAGCGTGGTCGGGACCCCTCCATGCAGACCCTCCTGAGTGTTTCCTGGGTTACAAAACAGGAAAGTCGAACGATTTGATCCCAGCAGAGCCCTGGTGCATTTAATGCTGAGATCAAGCTGTTACCTTGTTTAAATGTATCCAGAATTAGACATTATGAGCAGGGAAATCACAAAGGATTAGATAGGTCAAATGTATTTTGGTGTGATGACTGCCAAACTGTTTAAAACTCTGGTCTGAAACACCTCTAATGGATCTGGCAAATACAGGCACTACATAGCTGTATGCAAATTTCTTTTTCTGCATGGAGGGAAGCTGTTGTTACTGAGTGTCAAGTGACAGTGGAACATCAGATAAGAGACAGATATGTATCTTCCCTGGCAAACTTTGCTTCCACGGGTCAAGGCTAAGTAATTAGTCAGAGCAGCATGATAGGGTACAATTCAACCGTTTTGTCACTGCAATGTTGTATACAAATCGTAGCTCTACATAGTTGCCTGAGACCACCTGTTGAATGATATTCATTTGGCTATTTATCAATTGCAAGTTTGTGGACAAGTTGAGGAAATTTTCCAATAACAGAATATCAAATCAGTAAGTAAAATAAGACTGAACTAAATGAAAAACAAGTGATCCTCCTAGCAGAATTCAGTACAGCGTTGTATTGGTCCTATTCTAAAGTAAAGTGCAGTGCATCACGTACTACATGTATTGTCAACAAGTCATTGTGTGCATGGTCAGTCTTGTGTTAATGGTCCTCACTTCATTGCCCTGTTTGGAAGAAAAACATCACGACCAATAGACTGCCCCGGTAGAATGGCAAAGTCTATTCATCTAGCCCCTGACAATGTGCCTTCTTTTAGGAATGCCACGCTTGCAAGAACGAAAAAAACACTATCATTCCATAGAACAGAACGGTTGTCCACTATTGGACTGTAACAAATGGCCGAGGGGTCATTCCTTAAATAGTGCAAATCATACAGTGGCTAAATACCATCGCATTTACTCTTAGCAAATGTAATATTTTGTAGAATCCACTGAAGGACATTCTCCAAACCATGTTCATCACTGACAAAAGGACACACTTTAATAAACTGTTATCATTGTGTCAAGCTGTGTTGTACAATGTAGGTCTCTTCGGGGGGGGGGGGTCATATTATTCATGTAGGTTCTAATATATCAACATCACTTCTTTCAGATTTGCTGTGGACTTTGGCAAAGGACAGTCCAAATTACAGTCCTTCACATTCAATAATAACACACTTCACACTTGTATGCTTTTTATAATAGAATTTTATGGCAATATTAGAACCTGGTGCAATTACAAACTGTTCATGAAAAGTTTATGAACTTGAAAGTTTAAAAACTTTAGCTGTTTGTGTAGAGACTACTGTAGAGTACTATTTTGCATGATCCAGAAAATGATAAACAATGACTTAATGTTCCTGCTTATATTCATAAGAATCTTAGTGAAATCACAAAGTTTTCTGTAAACAAGCTAATGTTACGGGCAACAACTTTATGCAGTTGTATCTGTTTGAAAGCCAAGCATCAAGACTTATGGATAGTTGTTTTCTGTGTTGTTTTGTAAATGGCATTTATGATAGTATGTTTTTTTCCTCATTGGAGACTTACGTCTAACTTTAACCCAAGGTGTTGATGATACTTGAGCTAAGCACTGATATGTGTCAAAACAAGAGTGAATGTAGGCAGCTGGGGGGAGTGGAGAGTTTGTGAAGTGCCTCTTGTTGGCACTCATTGCTCCGAGGCTGTTGTAGATACACACAGGGCTCGAAATACTGGGTGCATGTGCACCTTAGTGCACCCAAATTTGGAGCTGTGCACCCAACCTTGTTCTGTTCACCTAAATATTTTTGTAGTATGTACGTATGTAAAGATGTTAAATGTATAGCATCATCATCATAGTCCTTATGATGATGATGATGACGTGTCAGAAAAATAATACAATCATTGTTATACTGTACTTTATAGTACTTTTCTTTAGAAATGAAATGAAATATAATTAAATTTTGTGGACATTCTACTTATTTTACCTTACATGGGGCACCCAAACAATTTTTTGTGCTCCCAATTTTTTAGGTTGGGTGCACCAGTGCACCTATTCCCAAAAATGAATTTCGAGCCCTGTACACGACATACCATACAAAGGCCAGGTTCACGCAGGCCGCTTTCGTGTGCAGCGGGCCGCAGGAGAGAAAGTCGTGGTAGACGGAGCGGTGAAATGTGTGAGAGGTCCTGTTTGTTTATGTCTCACGGGGGTAAGCCGAAATGTCAAGATATTAGATGTGTTGACATGACTGGGGGTGTGGGTGTGTGTGGAACACTGGACAGGTGGACATGTTGGTTTCTGTGTCTCAAAAAAACATTGTTATCTCCCAAAGTGCCTAGAGGGTTATTTGGGCAATAAACAAGGATATGAAAAATGAATTTATGAAAAATGAATTCAAAGACTGAATTCAGGCTTGAGTTTACGTGTACATTAGTAGGTAAATTGAGATGTACTTTGAAAGCACAGATGATAAGAAGTTACACTGCATTCTATAACACTTTTTTTAACAGAATCATATACATGTATTGGATATGCATAACTAAAATCTTCTTTAGGCATCAGTTCAATTGTTCAAAAGGAATCAGATTTTTCTCATTTCCTTAATTCTATAATTTCCAAAAAGAAAAGGGAGAAAGAGTTTCAATACTTTGTATCATGAAACTTCTACATGGCAGAAAACTCTGAAACATCACTTGCCTTTTACCCCAAGTGAACCGATAGTTTATTAGATTTACGTTAAGAAAAGCTCTGCAGGTCAACAGATTGTCTATTGAATTAAAGACGAAATAGCTCTTTAGATCAACAGCCTCTGCAAGTATCAAGTTAGCAAATCCAAAATTAGATTTCACGTCTAATGAGTCCTCATGCCCCAAGGGAAAAGTCAAAAGGCTACTGTGTACTGTAGGGTAGGATGTCAAACCTGTATCCCTCTAAAAACCACAAACTATGTGTTACTGTTACTAAATTGTCAGCTTCTCATGACCTGAAAAGCCCC